TCCGGTCTAGTCCTTGTTTAGTCCCGGTCTAGTCTCAGTCTAGTCCTGGTTTAGTCCTGGTCCGGTCCTGGTGTAATCCTCGCGATTGTCTCGGTGATTGTGGCGTATATATTCATGCTCCGCTCATGTTTGTGGTTCTCGCTCTGGTTCTCGGGTTTTTCTTCCTGATAATAACGTTGCTGCGTCACTGGATACTCGTCCCTGATTGGTTGACGCGGCGCGTCTGACGCAAAAAGTTCAGCATTTTCAACTTCTGACGCTGACGCCTTGGACGCGCGTCTAGAGCGTCGATGCGAAAAACGCTCAAGACGCGCTGCGTTGACGCCAGATTCGCGTCGCGCTGACGCCAAAGACGCACCGCAAAAACGCAGGACGCTCTAGTCGCGTCCACATAGACTTTACATAGAAACTGGACGCTTTGACGCTTTGGTGTGAACGACCCTTACCACTGAGCCACACCACACAAATACTCTCTGTCTGATATTGATCCCACAGATATAGATAAAACATAAGAGAAAACATCATCATCAAAACAGACTTACAAAGTACATGGACAGGGTCCTTCTGTCGTGCAGTTTTCTCTAAAGAAAAACAAGAAGATCGAATTAGAAGAGAGAAGATCGAATTAGGAGAAAGTTTTTATATTGTACTTCTGGGTCCATCAGATGATAAGTTATTAAAATAAGAAAAATTAAAAAGTTAAATGCTAAGCCCCGCCCCCTGAGCACATACCAGCGTCTGATTGGCTGAGAGCATGCTGTTGTTGCTCTCGTCTCCTCTGATGGGGACCAGAGGCATCGTCCCGAACTTCTGCTTGGAGATGTCAGAGGACGAGTGTCTGCGCAGGATGGCAGGGGGCGCTTCATCGTTCTACAAGAAAAACACACAATACAATCTATATGAGCGCGCCCTGGTGGACTGACAGGGGACTGCAAGTTTAACCTCTGGAACTTGTTTAACTTTGTGGTTTCTCCGACCTGAGCTTTGAGGAAACAGGTGATCCAGCCCCACAGCTCCGCCTCCCCGCTGCAGCACAGGAACCTGCTCGTGTTTAGAGGAGAGAATAAAGGAGTTATATCACAAAAACTAAATAAAAACTGTATTTACTCTAAGAATAAACGAATAAACTCACAGCTGGTGTTTGTGCGAGATCACTGTGAAGCCCCATCTACAACGAAAAGACAACAGAATATTTGGTCACTGCAAAACAGGACTAAAACAGGACTAAACCAGGTTAAGAGTAGGACTAAAGCAGAAGTGAAAAGGTCTAAAACAGGTCTAAAGCAGGACTCTAAACACAGCTGGACTAAAGCAGGACGGAAACAGGACTAAAATAGGTTTAAAGCAGGGCTAAAGTAGGACTAAACCAGGTCTAAAACAGGTCTAAAGCAGGACTAAAGCTGGACTAAAGCAGGACTGAAACAGGTCTAAAACAGGTCTACAGCTGGACTAAAGCAGGACTGAAACAGGTCTAAAACAGGTCTAAAGCAGGACTAAAGCAGGACGGAAACAGGACTAAAATAGTTCTAAAGCAGGACTAAAGTAGGACTAAACCAGGTCTAAAACAGATCTAAAGCAGGACTAAAGCAGGACGGAAACAGGATTAAAACAGGTTTAAAGCAGGACTAAAGCAGGACAAAAGTAGGACTAAACCAGGTCTACAGCTGGACTAAAGCAGGATGGAAACAGGACTAAAATAGGTTAAAGCAGGACTAAAGTAGGACTAAAGCACAACTGAAACAGGTCTAAAACAGGTCTACAGCTGAAATAAAGCAGCACTGAAACAGATCTAAAACAGGACTAAAGCAGGACTAAAGTAGGACTAAATCAGGTCTAAAACAGGTCTAAAGCAGGACTAAAGCAGGACGGAAACAGGACTAAAACAGGTTTAAAGCAGGACTAAAGCAGGACGGAAACAGGACTAAAGCAGGTAAAGCAGGACTGAAACAGGTCTAAACAGGTCTAAAAATCAGGTCAGTCAGTCTCAACAAGGTCTAAACTATGTCCAAACCAGGTTTTAAACTTAAACTTAAAAGAAGTCTAAAAAACTAGGTCTAAACTAGGTGCTAAAAACAGGTTTAAACTAGTTCCTAACCCGCTCTTAACCAGGTCTAAACCAGATCTAAACCATGTCCAAAACACATTTGAACTAGGTCTTAATCTGGTCCTAGCCAGCACTCCACGAGGTCTACACCAGGACTAAACCAGGTCTACAGGTCAGGTACAGGTCTAGGTCTAGGATCAGGACTTTACCTGGTGGGGGCCTTGAGTTTTTTCCTGATGCCGATGTAGATTCATGTCTCTTCAGGCTCCACTCCTTCTCTGGTTGATGCTCTGAGCAGATCAATATAATATTAATTAATATTTAATAATAACTCAAGTCCTTCACTAGAACATGTGTGTCCTTCACTAGAACATGTGTGTCTTCACTATGTGTCCTTCACTAGAACATGTGTGTCCTTCACTCATGTGTGTCCTTCATTAGAACATGTGTGTCCTTCACTAGAACATGTGTGTCACCATGTGTGTCCTTCACTAGAACATGTGTGTCCTTCATTTAGAACATGTGTGTCCTTCACTAGAACATGTGTGTCCTTCACTAGAACATGTGTGTCCTTCACTAGAACATGTGTGTCCTTCACTAGAACATGTGTGTCCTTCACTAGAACATGTGTGTCCTTCACTAGAACATGTGTGTCCTTCACTAGAACATGTGTGTCCTTCATTTAGAACATGTGTGTCCTTCACTAGAACATGTGTGTCCTTCACTAGAACATGTGTGTCCTTCACTAGAACATGTGTGTCCTTCACTAGAACATGTGTGTCCTTCACTAGAACATGTGTGTCCTTCACTAAACATGTGTGTCCTTCATAGAACATGTGTGTCCTTCACTAGAACATGTGTGTCCTTCACTAGAACATGTGTGTCCTTCACTAGAACATGTGTGTCTTCACTAGAACATGTGTGTTTAGAACATGTGTCCTTCACTAGAACATGTGTGTCCTTCACTAGAACAAAGAACATGTGTTCCTTCACTAGAACATGTGTGTCCTTCACTAGAAATGTGTGTCCTTCACTAGAACATGTGTGTCCTTCATAGAACATGTGTCCTTCACTAGAACATGTGTGTCCTTCAAGAACATGTGTGTCCTTCACTAGAACATGTGTGTCCTTCACTAGTGTCCTTCACTAGAACATGTGTGTCCTTCACTAAACTAGAAATGTGTGTCCTTCATAGAACATGTGTCCTTCACTAGAACATGTGTGTCCTTCACTAGAACAGTGTGTCCTTCAGAGAACATGTGTGTCCTTCACTAGAACATCCTTTTAGAACATGTGTCCTTCACTAGAACATGTGTGTCCTTCACTAGAACATGTGTGTCCTTCACTAGAAACATGTGTGTCCTTCACTAGAACATGTGTGTCCTTCATTAGAACATGTGTGTCCTTCATAGAACATGGGTCCTTGTAGAACATGGTGTTCGAAGTGTCCTTCACTAGAATCACTTAGAACATGCGTGTCCTTCACTTAGACATGCGTGTCCTTCACTAGAACATGTGTCCTTCCTTCACTAGAACATGTGTGTCCTTCACTAGAACATGTGTGTCCTCACTAGAACATGTGTGTCCTTCAGTAGAACATGTGTGTCCTTCACTAGAACATGCGTGTCCTTCAGTAGAACATGTGTGTCCTTCAGGAGAACATGTGTGTCCTTCACTAGAACATGTGTGTCCTTCTTAGAACATGTGTGTCCTTCATGTGTGCCTTCACTGTCCTTCACTAGAACATGTGTGTCCTTCACTAGAACATGCGTGTCCTTCACTAGAACATGTGTGTCCTTCATTAGAACATGTGTGTCCTTCATTTAGAACATGTGTGTCCTTCATTTAGAACATGTGTGTCCTTCATTAGAACATGTGTGTCCTTCACTAGAACATGTGTCTCAGTAGAACATGTGTGTCCTTCACTAGAACATGTGGGTCCTTCACTAGAACATGTGTGTCCTTCAGTAGAACATGCGTGTCCTTCACTAGAACATGTGTGTCCTTCATGTGTCCTTCACTAGACATGTGTGTCCTTCGTGTCCTCATTAGAACATGTGTCCTTCATAGAACATGTGTGTCCTTCAGTAGAACATGTGTGTCCTTCAGTAAACATGGTGGTCCTTCACTAGAACATGTGTGTCCTTTCACTTCAGTAGAACATGTGTGTCCTTCAGTCCTTCATGTGTGTCCTTCAGAACATGCGTGTCCTTCACTAGAACATGCGTGTCCTTCAGTAGAACATGCGTGTCCTTCAGGAGAACATGCGTGTCCTTCACTAGAACATGCGTGTCCTTCAGTAGAACATGTGTGTCCTTCAGAACATGTGTGTCCTCATCATTCACTAGAACATGTGTGTCCTTCAGTAGAACATGTGTGTCCTTCACTGAACATGTGTGTCCTTCACTAGAAACATGTGTGTCCTTCACTAGAACATGTGTGTCATGTGTGTCTAGAACATTTAGAACATGTGTGTCCTTCACTAGACATGTGTGTCCTTCAGTAGAACATGTGTGTCCTTCACTAGAACATGCGTGTCCTTCAGTAGAACATGTGTGTCCTTCACTAGAACATGTGTGTCCTTCACTAGAACATGTGTGTCCTTCAGTAGAACATGTGTGTCCTTCACTAGAACATGTGTGTCCTTCACTAGAAGAACATGTGTGTCCTTCATTTAGAAACATGTGTGTCCTTCATTAGAACATGTGTGTCCTTCATTTAGAACATGTGTGTCCTTCAGTGTCCTTTAGAACATGCGTGTCCTTCATTTAGAACATGTGTGTCCTTCAGTAGAACATGTGTGTCCTTCAGTAGAAACTGTGTGTCCTTCAGTGTGTCCTTCAGTAGAACATGTGTCCTTCACTAGAACATGTGTGTCCTTCATTTAGAACACATGAACATGTGTCCTTCACTAGAACATGTGTGTCCTTCAGTAGAACATGTGTGTCCTTCACTA